CCCCATCACACACTATCGCACTATCACAACCCCCACCACGCACTATCACAACCCCCACCACGCACTATCACAATCCCCACCACGCACTATCACAACCCCCATCACGCACTATCTCAGCCACCCCCATGGTTCCCCTGACTTACCAGGCCCTATCTCGGCCACCACCGTCGTTCCCCCGACTTACCGGGCACGTCTTGTGAGGAATGTTTGGAGAGCAGGTTGAAAAACTTGACCCGGTCGTCCTCGTGCATCAAGTCGTACAACGAATGGTTGATCAGATCCCCCTGGGGACATACAAAAACAGTTATGTTTGCTACTTTATTTAAAAAAACAAACCACATACATTTTCATTCTACTCTTACACATTCTTTACAACTCAAAAGTAGTCTGACAGCAGCAGATTTTTTTCATCCAACGATGCAAGTTTTAAAAAACCCACAAATCATCTTCGTTTCTAAAAAAGGAACCGGGAATGCTTTATTCACCCTAACAGTTAACAAAAATATGTATTGAAGCACAAAAGGATTAATATATTTAAGCTCTGTTAATTTCATTATTCAAATGCTTTGACAAAGTTCGACATGATGAACAATTTAACATTTTGGAAGAGCAATATTACACAGCAGGAAACAATTTAAGAATTATTGAAAATTTGAACTGACTCCACAGTGCTGTTGTACACTTTGACAGAGCACAAGTGTAACCTTTGACAGCTTCTAGACACTGCCCTTATAGAAAGTGGTCATTCTTGCAAGGAAAGACAACAGAAAGAATGATAATATCTAAAAAGGCTGTCAATCCTATTTGTAAAAGCGAAAAGATGAAACAAGTACAACAGTTAAAATCTTGTACTTGAAATGTAATCGATGCCAAATTTATCCCCAAACAAAAGCTCACCGCTAGATGTCCCAGCAGAGACGTGATGCTGTCGGACGTGAAGAGAATTTTTCCCTGTTGAGTGAACACCACCAAGAAACTGTCCACAGCCTGAAGGGGAAACCAAAAACCTGTTACAGAATCTCATTTCAAAAGTAGTAATGTTAGCCTATTTACCAACAAATCACTCAACAACAACAGTCCCTCCCAGAAGATATCAGAAGCCCTACCATAAAGCTGCTGGTAGTTTTGTGGGGGGGTTTTCAAACTGGTCACAACTGAGAACTGTTGAGATTTTGATGACTGTTACGATTTTGTGATTGTATCTGTCAGTGAAAGCATGAGTGACACACTTACCCCTTTAACATCACATCTTGCTGATCGGCAAGAACGGCGAACTTCCTCGCCTGTCACAAAACACAGTTCGGTGATGTTTACCACCCAGTTTCTTTGGATTTCCCCCAAAATGCTTGTGATGGCAAAGTGTTAAATATTACCATTAAACAAGTACATTAGTTGTAGTTTTTCTGTTTTTTCCTCAGGACGCATGTCCTGACCCTGTGAGTGTGTGTAACTGTCATGTGGAAAACCTACGACAACAGGCTAGGGTTCAGAAGATTTGCTGTTTTTCATTTCCCTAGATGAGTCTTACCTCCAGCATGAGCTGAGCAAACTCTTCATTGCACAAAAATGTCGGCTTCCAGTCCTCCTTTATCTCATTGGCAGCTGACTGCACGGAGAACTCTGGGGAGAAAAAAGAACGTCAGAAAACTGTTGTCACATTTCCCAAAGATCAGTGAGATACATAACGACTGCAGTGACACTGAAGTGACATTGAAAGAAAGAAGGCCACGTGAGAGTGGGCACCAATTACCCCAGGGAAAGAAGCGGCAAACAACAAATTGTGTTACTTCCTAACCAAAGACATTTTCAAGCCTTTAACAAGACTAGTTATTAGTTATTAGTTTTGTGTGAAGTGAGGAAAATTCCAGTACTGCTTTTCCCAAGGGCACAACGTCGGGCCACAGAGGGAATTGGAACCCACCACCTTACAGTTGTGATCCAAGAGTCTAACCACTACGCCACCGCTGCCACACTCGGTAGAGAGAAGACAAAACAAAGGTTGTTGCTTACCTTGATGATTCCTGAGGAACTGTATCGCCGACTTAAGCACGGACGACTTGTCCATCTTTTTACTGTTGGCCGCGACCATGGAGCACAGCTCATTGATGAGGACGTTGAACTGATCCCTGCGCTTCTTCTCGCTGAGATTGCGAGTTTTGCTGCGGAAATAATTGGACAACATTATTATAATAACTGACGGCAAAAATGGTTAAAATCGTTCGTTTGAGTAAACAGAAGCACACATTAACACAATAATGGTTACTAAGAGCAGCGGGGAAATAAGTCATTTTGTTTATATACCCCCAAAAAAGCAACAACAAAAAACAAATATAAAATTTTTTATTTTTACATTGGTTTCTCAAATTCTAAACCAGCATGACAACTGCAGGGTTGCGGTAAGGTGCTTTACTGTCATGTTCCTAGGAGACCATGGTTCAATTCTCGAGAGGGAAGAAATTCTTTCTGAGCATTTCCATCTTTCTGCTGTGATTTTGTATCAGATTATTACAGAGTATCTCTCTCAATCCGGGTTATTTTCTTACATCTCACCCTAAAATGATATTTTTTACTTTAAATGAAATTTGCACCTATTTTTCGTTGTTCCGTGACTCCCACCTGACTGATCACAGCCAACCTGACAATACACACCGCGATAACGCCATCTAATGTTACAAGCCTACAATGTGCAGGGGAATTCTATTTGATCTATGATCATCTATCACACCCACACCATGATGCACTTACTGTACGTCGCCTCTCCCAGTAACAACCAAACCATTACTAATACATGCAGCAAATAAAGACAAGTCAAGTAATCGCATGCTTGCAAATATAAAAGTGAGAGAAAAAGGAAAAAGGTTAGTACTGCGGATTTATCATATTATATATATATAATATTATTCAAGTAGACTTTAAAATTTGGAACAGTTGTCAGACTGGTTCAGTTCAGTGTAGACCATTAAGCACCGTTGTGTAGCCTAGTTCAAACAAAAAACATCAAGATTATATAAACCATCAAGTGAACTGGCACTAGATGCAGCTTCGGCCCTGTACATTAACTCTCATCTGTTATAATAGTATTAAATTAATTATCATATTTTTTACTTACCGCTTGACATTGTCTTTTTCGTCATCTTCAAGCTCATCGAAACTTATAACACTCTCACTGGGAAGAAAAAAAAGCAGGCTTCAAATTAGAAATCACCAACATTTAAATTTTTTTTAAATATATATTTCCTGAAAATATAACTGAGCAAGGCATTGATAATAATTAACACTGAAAACATTAATTATTATAATCACAATGTTTACCACAACCATTGACACTGTACGAGACCAAAGAAGATTTATTTACGTTACACTTCATGACAAAACAAGTTGAGGTTTCGGGACAGTGTAATTAATTGTAATTAAAATTTACTTTCATTTTCTGAAAATGAGAAAAAAAAAATTTCAAAAAGTTTTTATCTCTTTAAGTTCATGATTTATAATGTTCCTTTTTCATTTTTAAAGCATCTCACAAATGATTTCATTATTATTGCTTGGCTTTGATGGGCTCATTCAAGGATGAACAAAGAGTTAGTAGAGTTTTTTAAAGTCAAAATTCATAATTATTTATTAATAAATTAGCAACAAAATTCAACAACAAAATCATAGATCATCTAAGTATGTGTGGTAGCATTCAATTTTGATTTGTTTGGCTTGGCAACTGGACTGGACTCTATACACACAAAAATATTTTTTTGAAAATCTAGCTTTCATTTCAACTCTTTAGTTTATTAAAAAATAAAATAAATCATTTCTAGGAAATTCTACTGATACTAAGACAGACAAGGACAATAATCAGGGACGCCACTGGACTTTGATTAAAAATAACTGAACATTTTTTCAGACTAGATTCTAGATTTAGCACACGCCGAAGCAGGCAAGTGTGAGACTGACTGTGTGCACAAGGCCAAGGCTAGGCCGGGCCTACATTATTGGAGCTAAACTTAATCATCCGGTTGATCATGCTGCGCATTTTTTAAAATTGAACAGCGAGTGTCGGCCTGATTAAAAATATGCAGACCTGCCACTCTATGAAAGCTAAAAAAATCAGGATTTTAGAGGAGAAAAAAATCAGGATCTGGTGAAAAAAATCGGGATCAACGGCAAATCAGTCATAGGGGGTACTGGGGAAGGAGGGTGGGGGTGGGGGGTCTTGGTTCCCTTTTATGAGGCAAGTATGCAAGAGAAAACTTTTGCAGGAAAAAGTTCACGTTTGGGCCTCTAAATAGGGAAAACTGAAAGACAGCATATGTACTCGAGTCGGAGTTGGATAGACTGGGGGAGCGCAGGATGCAGTAAAGCTGAAACTCTCGTAGTTTTGAAAATAGCTGACACATAACTCTAATCATCCATGCAAAAAGCCCGCGTTTTCGTACAGTAACAACGTCTGACTTCCATCCA